TCAATTTGGATATGAGGACAATTAATGACAATAAACGACATGGTGGGGGTGGGGTAAGGGGAGAGCAGAGAAAGAAGTAGGGAGGAGTCGGGGAAAGGAAGAGCAGAGAGAGGGAAGGAGGGAGGGGTGGGATCTCAGTACACCTTTTGGGAGCAAGGCACAATTGTAAGAGGGACTTACCTAACAAATGCAATCAGTGTAAGGGGTTTCTTGTACCCTCAATGAATCCCCAACAATAAAGGGGGTGATACACCTTTTGGGAACAAGACATAGTTGTAAGAGGGACTTTACCTAACAAATGCAATTAGTATAACCTGGTCTCTTGTACCCTCAATGAATCCCCAACAATTAAAAAAAAAAAAAAAGATGGACTCAAGGGTAGATTCTTGTCAAGGATGAAAACAGAGGCTGTGCACAGTAGTACAAGCCTATGATTCCAGCACTATGGGAGAATGAGGTGGGAGGACCTCTTGCACCGAGGAGTTTAAGGTTGCTATGAGCTATGAAGACACTACTGCACTCCAATCTAGGTGACAGAGTGAGACCCTACCTCGAAACAAAAATCAAAATAATAAAAATGAAAACAGAAGTGCCCAACAGCCAATGACACAGCTAAGAACACCAGGTCCACAACTGGACAGAATGAAACTTCCTGGTTCACTTTTATCAAAAGACAACTCTAGTCACAGGCTCCCTCTAGGAGTCAAGCTCCCAGAGTGGCAGTCTCAGTTCCTCTGTCCCCCTCCCTTGCCCACTGTGGCTTTGAACTTCCCCATGGTCACTTTTGGATCCCTCCAGAAAGAGCCAATCCAAATTCCCAAAGCCTCTCACTAGGCTGTCTTGCGTCTCTCCTCCCTTCATGGCACTGGTGGCTGGACATAGCTTGCCCCTTGCCCAGATGGGAAAGCTGCACCTTCTTGCCTGGGTCCCAGGCCTGGATGTGCTATGGCAGAGTTGAGATGCTGTCTGCTTGGGAGACCCCAAGACTGCTGCACCTCAAAGACTGGTTCTCCTGGGACACTCAGGGTAGTAAAAGTGAGAAGGGGGAAGGTATGGGGGGCAGTAATAAATGGGGGCATTTCAGGAGGCCTGTGGGATCTGGCTGGTAATAGAGAAGCTGAGATTCCTGTGGCCCACAGAGCACCCTCATTCCTCTGTGCACCCGGGCACTGGCGCAGGTCTGACAAACATCTGTTGGTGCCTTGACTGCGGCAGAGCTCAGCTGTGCATCTCCAGTGGGCAGCAGGGACAGCATCAAGAATGCTGCCCACCTTCTCTTCCATGAGGGCTTAACAGACTATGCCCAGTTAAAGAAGGGAGTTAAAACACAGCCAGGGAGAAAGTAGGATAAGCCCTGCAACATGGGACCGGGATTGAAGGTGCAGGGTGCACACACAGACTTTTATGTATAGGTCTAAGTGTGTGTGTGCCCGTGTGCAATCCAGCATCTATTTTCCAGTATGTGTTGTGGGTGCCTAGGAATAACAGCTGCCTGGGAGCAATGAGCACACCTGGCACCCAGATCTTGGTTTCTACATATCCCTTTCCACTCAGAGGACCCAAGGCTCCTTGAAGAGACAGCTGATGCCAGAGCCAGGGCGCAGCACATGTGGGACCAACTTGGAGTACCACATGTCCCACAGGAAGAGAGTGCTCAGAGAACAGACACATACATCCAGAGGACACCCGAGCAGCTGGAAGGGTCTCTTGACAGTCACGGTGGGACAGTCTGAGGACTGAGATAAATACCAACAGTAATCCATCACAGCCCACTGAGTAACAGGCACATCGAAGTGCACATGGACAAACCCACAAGTGAAGGGAAGACAGCAGTGCTAACGCGTGTGGAAAGGACAATGCAGGACTATTGTGACAAGCAGCAGACAATGCCCTGGCTTTGCTGTGGTTTGAATGTCTGTCCCTCAGAAATGCTTGCTGAGAGTTAAGCCCCATTGTGGCAGTACTGAGAGGGGGTGCCTTTAAGAGGTGACTGGGTTATGAGGGCTCTGCCCTCACACATGTGTTGCAGATATGCACCCCTTGCTCAAGACATGGCAGTTCGCCTCAATGTGCTCCTTCAGATTGTTTCTGGGAAACATTTCCTTGAGGATCGAGCTTCTGTACCTGCCTATAGATATGTAGGAATTTGCAGAAAAGTCTCTCCCTAGGAGGTGTGGAGAAACAGCCAAGGTGTAGCTGGGGGATAGACAGACTGGTTCGAGCATTGGATCCTACTCTCTGCCTTCTCTCTTCATTAACATTATAATCACTAGTTTCCATTTGGGCTAAAAGGAACAGACAGCCAGGCTCCCTTATGTTTTTACTCTAAACAAAATCAATTGTATATGTGTTCCTCAGCCTTCACACTAAATTGTAATCTTAAATGGTAGCTTCCTAATGTTACTTCACTTCTTTGTATATGTGTTAAATTCTTACTGAATGATGGAAAGTATACAATGTAATCAGTAAAGTTTAGCTGGGCAGCCGACCAGAGCGAGTCACGGTCTCCCTTGAAATAATCATTCCGTCTGCAGTTCTTTCCCCTGCGTCCCTGATCAGAAGCTCCAAAGAACATACAACTTCACACATGGATTTATCTCCTTGTGGATTCACAGGTTAATGAGTTAATGGATTGGTGGATCATTATAGAAGTGGGATGGGTGGCTTTGTAAGATGAGGAAGAGAGGCCTAAGCCAGCACTTTAGCATGCTTGGTGCCACCTGTGCTGCCTTAGGACTCCGCAGTGTCCCCACAAGCATGAAGATGCTCCATAGGTGTGACCCTGTGACCTTGAACTTCTCAATCCCCAGAACTATAAGAAATAAGTTCCTTTTCTTTATAAAAGTGCCTGGCTTCAGGCATTCCGTTATATGCAACAGAAAACAGAGTGAAAAGTCTCAAAGCATCTCCCGACAAATTACAGACCACAGAGAGAAACAGAGTTGCTTCACATCAGAGAGGGTCATTGCCTAACGTTCAGGGCATAATTGCCAGTTCCACAGGGGCTACCAGCCTCCCGTATGGAAAGCTAAGCTGAGGCACTTGGGCTGGACAAGCAGCTGCATGGGCACTGTGGATGACCAGATAGGTCCCTGAACAGTAGAGTCTGGGGTCCCCTCTTCCTGGGAGACAGGGAGCTTTAACATAAACCAAAGGCCACTGTCTCTCCTGCCTTGGGTGTCAATTATCAGGATGTACTGCCCTAGCTCAGCAGTGCCCGATTGTTGGACACTTATTCAGGGAGGGACTGCACAACCAAGTCACCCCAGGAGGCCTCAAGGCAACGATGGCCCCTTCTTACCAGATACCTCAGAGGCAACCATGGTTAGAATTCTAGAGTCAGAGATTACATTCTATGGAGTTGATTAGAATATCTGGGCCCTGTCTGAATCCCCCAGTAGAGCCTCAAAGCCAGATGATGAGTGCCAGAGTGCAGGAGGCAGGGTGCTTCAAAAATATCTACTACAGAAAAGACTAAAGGAGAGAAAGAGCCTAAGGAGACCTGAGATTCAAGGCATGAAGCCTTACATACAGAGGGAAGTACAATAACGAAGCCCATCACCAGAAAAAGGGGACAAATCTGTGTCTCAGACACTATCATGTTCAATGCTAGTTCCCAGGGCAAGAGCAACATGATGTTATGTGGAAGGATGGCCTTATTCTTGGCAAGGTGTCACAAGGCCTGCAAATAACTCTTAAATGGTTCAGGAAAAAAATCCCATATATGCAGGTATCTCTGCAAAGAAAGAAAAGCAGGATGCTAATGGGACAAGCCAAAATGCACACAATGCCTCACCATTACACCATGCTTGCAGCTTCTCTATTGGTCTGCAATTTTCTAAAACAAACATTCAAGAAAGGAGAGGTAGGGAAAAGAGGGGAAGAAAGAAAGACACGTTGGCCCCCAGACTTCTGTACTCTAAGATGAATTCAGGTTTGGGAACTTTGGACTCAGTCTGTCCCATTCATCTAAGATTAAAAATCAAAGGCCAAAAGAAAAAAAAACAAAGGCCAGCTTGGTGCCTATAGCTCAGCGGCTAGGGTGCCAGCCACATACACTGGAGCTGGTGGGTTTGAATCCAGCCTGGGCCTGCCAAATGACAATGACAACTACAACCAAAAAATAGCAGGGCATTGTGGTGGGCGCCTGTAGTTCCAGCAACTTAGGAGGCTGAGGCAAGAGAATCGCTTAAGCCCAAGAGTTTGAGGTTGCTATAAGCTGTATGCCACAGCACTCTACCCAGGGTGACATAGTGAGACTCTGTATCAAAAAATAATGATAATAATCAAATCAAATCAAAATCAAAATCAAAGGCCAGGTGCAATAGCTCCCACTTATAATCCTAGCACTCTGGGAGGCTAAGGCAGGTGGATTGCCTGAGCTTAGTAGTTCAAGACCAGCCTGAGCAAGACCAAGACCTCATCTCTACTAAAAATAGAAAAATTAGCTGGGCATGAAGGCAGGTGCCTGTAGTTCCAGCAACTCAGGAGGCTGAGATAGGAGGACTACTTAAACCCAGGAGTTTGAGGTTGCTTTGAGTTAGGCTGATGCCATGACACTAATCTGTGCAACAGAGTGAGTCTCTGTCTCGAAAGAAAAAAAAAGATTAAAAATAATAAAAGTAGCAGACACATGGGCTCTCACAACATATTTTCCAGTTTACCTGGTGGCCAGACTGTAACTGCCTATCTTAGCCCAGGGCACATGCTGCGCCTGGGGCATTTTCCATAGAGGTCAAACCTCGGTGGGACAGTCAGCAGTCCTCTCCAAGGAGAGATCTAGAGCTTTCGGCTCTAACCCTTGAGTGAACCAGGTAAAGAAATCCCTTGTCCGGTGGTGGTCAGCTGCAAATGCCTCTACTTCCTGAATCCTTAACTGCGGAAGCCCCCATGGGAAGCAGTGGCCTCTGAGACCCACTAGGACCATGGCACAACCCTGGGAATGATAGCCATCAGGCAGGACATGCCCGAAAAGCAATCCCACACGGCCAGGCCCATACCTAGCTCCTCACGTGTGAACGGCAGGAAGGTTGTATCCTCATTCAGGTTCTTGTTGAAGTCGATGCACAGTAGACTGAGCTTCTTCTTGATGCTTTTGATTTTCTGAGGAAAAGACGACAGTAGTGGGAGGAGGAAAGACCAGCAGGAAAAGTGTATACCACACTAGCTGCAGGGACATGCCTATTCCCATTAAAGCTGGGGCCAAGTGGGTTCCTCCCCTGACCTAAGCAAGAAAAGAGACAACTGGAAAGAGTAAAAAGGCCAAGACAGAAAGAAGACAGACTCGGGTGGCCACAAGGCTGTCCCTGTGGCACGGGTCTGAGCCTAACTTCCAGAACCTCCTCTCAGAAGCCATCTTCGGCCTATAGCCTACGCTTTTAAACATTTTAACAGAGACACGTTTTCATCCTTTATCTGGTAAATTCGGTTTTCAGAAAGTTAAAAACCAGCCCTGGTACTATGGGGTACCAGCTAAAAAAGTGACTCTCAAGTGGCCCCTTTGCCAGTGCTGAATGCAAAGAGGTCACCACATGACAAAGACCTCACTTGGGACCGCGTGATAAGCGACAGACTGGCAGCAGAGTTGGGCTTCAACTCAGAACCTGTGAAGGCAGAGGTGGTGTGGGGAGCCACACCATTTGACTCCCTCCCTGGGGCAGCTTTGGCGCCCTTAGAGAGGGGGTCCCTGCCCCTTGGCAGGGGGATGACACTGTCCTCAAGGCTAGAGCACAGATGCCCACCAGACGAACAGAAGGGTAGGCAGGGGACGGCAAACTGTGCTGACAACTGTGCCCAGAATGTGGGCTCATCAGGCAGGCTATGGCTCTGAACCAGGTGCTCAGGCTCATTGGGCCTCTTCTGGGAGCAGGCCCCACACTGATGCTTCCAAATGTCCCTTTCATTGGCACCTCATGCAAGCAAGCCCAGCCAGCCTTTCCTCTCTGAGGGAAGGTACATTTGTCTTTTAAAACCAATACTGGTGGGAACAGGATTCAAGTGACAAGAACAGTCACACCGACAGAACTCTGGCTGCCTGTATCAGCCCTTTTATTTCCTGTATAGATGCTCTGCAACCTAGGATGGGAGGTACACTCCAACAGACCCACTTATGAATTGAAAATGTCTTTAACACTCCAATGGAGCATCACAGCTGGGCCCAGCCCACAGTACACATGCTCAGGACACCACGTCAGTCACCTACCGTAAGACTTAACTAATATATAGTAAAGTATCAACCATCTTATGTAACTCAATGAACACAGCAGTGCCCTGAGGAGCACCCTCCAGCTGCCACCAGCCCAGGAAAAGATTAAAATTCAAAATTTGAAGTATGGTTTCTTTTTTTTTTTGAGACAGAGCCTCAAGCTGTCCCCCTGGGCAGAGTGCCGTGGCATTACAGCTCACAGCAACCTCCAACTCCTGGGCTCAAGCGAGTCTCCTGCCTCCGCCTCCCAAGTAGCTGGGACCACAGGCGCCCGCCACAACGCCCGGCTATTTTTTGGTTGCAGCCGTCATTGTTGTTTGGCGGGTCCGGGCTGGGGATTCGAACCCGCCACCTTAGGTGTACGTGGCTGGCGCCTTAGCCGGTTGAGCTATAGGCGCCGAGCCTGAAGTATGGTTTCTATGGTAAATCAGGGCCTGTCTGTATTCTGGTGCCTTGATGACTTGGGATCCTTCTACGTGGCCAGTTCCTAGAGACAGTGCACTACTGTGAGTACCAACACACTTTCCCACAGACCATGTCCTGGAGCGCCAGCCCCACCCTAACCACCCCAGGGCAAGGCACCAGACGTCTAGGACAGCCCCTGTGCCCAGGGCCCACCACCACCCTCTGCTGGTGAAGCCTCCTGCCCAGAGGGCACCTCTGACTGGCCTGGTACTGCCCACTCTTCTTGGGAACTGTGACAAACTTTTTTTTTTTGCAGTTTTTGGCCAGGACCAGGTTTGAACCTGCCACCTCCGGTATATGGGACCAGCACCCCAACTCCTTTGAGCCACAGGTGCCACCCAACAAACTTCTTTATAATGGTGGCTGTCCTCTGCTCTCTCAGACTCAATCTACCTTTATTTCCTGCTGATACGCCAGACTTAACTCCATTATCACAACTCTGAGCTCTGCACAAACTATCTCACCTTACCCTTGAGCCCACTCATGCCATGGGGGCAGCTCACCTGGTACCTGCAGTTCTGTGTCCTGGGCCCCAGTCCTCTGGCTCCAGCCCCTATGCCTACACTGTCACCTCTACAAGCCCAGACCAGGAATGGGAAGAGCCCAGCAGGGAAGGCAAGGGTAGAGGTTCTTGGGGCTTACTGGCCTGTTCCCAAGTCACCAGGTGAAGGGGCAGGCAGTGCAGCCTAAGCTGGTCTTATGGTTCATCAGAGACAGAGACAAGCGCCAACCTGCCTCCCACTGGCAGAGAGAGAGGCCCTTAGGAACTGTGATCACCCTGGAGGAGGCAGGTCAGGAGAAAGTGACTCCAACTGTTGGCCTTTTCATCCCCCTGCTCCAGCCTCTTCAGGGCCATGACCAGTCATGAGCCAGGTACAGGAGAGCAAAGAGCTACAGAGCTGGGAAACACTGCATAGGCCAGAGACAGGCCGCCCTCCCTTCTCAGTTAAGACAGAAACCACACAGCAAGTCCTTCAGAAGGGGTGAAAGGCCATGAGGGGCCAAGGGGCTGAGGGCACAAGTTTTTCAGGAACCTCAGGAATACGTGGCATAGCAAAGAGGGATGTGAGCAAGAATAATGACACCTTAAAAATCACAGGACCTGGCCTGGGTACCTCGCCTTCTCCCTTCCCAGAAGAACTTTTCCTAACTACCGAACACTGCTCCAGTCTTTCAGATTTTTAACTGTGGGAGTCACTGTGTCAAATGGAGTGAGAAGCAATCTGGCCTTGAGAAATAAAGTATAAAACAATAAAAGAGCCTCAAACTGTCCCCCTGGGTAGAGTGCCATGGCTTCACTGCTCACAGTAACCTCCAACTCCTGGGCTCAAGCAAGTCTCCTGCCTCAGCCTCCCAGGTAGCTGGGACCACAGGTGCCCACCACAACGCCCAGCTATTTTTTGGTTGCAGCCATTATTGTTGTTTGGCGGGTCCGGGTTGGATTCGAACCCGTCACCTTAGGTGTATGTGGCTGACGCCTTAGCTGCTTGAGTCACAGGCGCTGAGCCTCCAGAATGGTTTCTTTCCAAGCAAAAACTCTGTACCCTTTAAACAGTAACTTCCCATTCTCCCCCACCCCCACCTATTCAGCCCCTGGTCACCTCTAATCTACTTTCCCTCTTTGAATCTACCTGTTCTAGCTGCTTCATATAAATGGAATTATACATTTGTCCATTTTGGTCTGCTTCTTACACTTGGTATAACATTTTCAAGGTTTATCCACATTGTAGCATGTGTCAGAATTACATTCCTTTGTAAAAGCTGAGTAATAAAAAAAAAAAAGTCACAGGACCTCACCATGCGCAGTGGCTCATGCCTGTAATCCTAGCACTCTGGGAGGCCAAGGCAGGTGGATTGCCAGAGTTCATGAGTTTTGAAACCAGCCTGAGCAAGAGGAAGACCTAGTTTTCCTCTAAAAATAGCCAGGTGTTGTGGCGGGAGCCTGTAGTCCTAGCTACTTGGGAGGCTGAGGCAAGAGAATCGCTTGAGCCCTGGAGTTTGAGGTTGTTGTGAGCCATGATGCCACAGCACTCTATGGGGGGTGATGAAGTGAGATTCTGTCTCAAAAAAACTAAGCCAACCTGAGTAGTTTGCTGCCCTCCTGCAGCCCCGGTTCCCAGCCAGAAAACAGGAGACACCCTCACACCAAGCCACGGAGAAGACTCATGAGATGAAAGCAGGGAAGTACCAGCTGATACCCATGTTCTTTCTTACTCTCTCTTTTGAGAGAATGTGCTCTTGGGAGTTGCCCCGATCCTAGAGAATTGAGAGGATTCACAGAGAGCCATTTTGGAGAGACCTGCTTTCCTGGAATTCAGATCTTCTGGCTTCAGAAAGGATGGGCTCAACCCCGAACAGAGGATACTTCCAGGGGATGTGGGGACCCCCACCCATGATGTCCGAGTCCCAGGCACTCACTTCCTGAGTTTCTCTGGGGAGATGTAACCCATTCCTCCTGCCCAGCTTGATGAGCCGTTCCAGGTACCGAGCTGCTTCTGGCCTCAGCGAGTCCTTTGCAACCTTCTCCTGGATGTGCAAATTGAAACACTGTTTACCTGAACAGCAAATGATGGTCAGGGTGTGGAGACCCTGGGTCACTCATACATCGTCAGTAGGAATGGAGGACAATGCAGCTGTTCTAGAGAGCAATTTGACAGCTTCTTAAAAACCTAATCCTCCTGGTCCCTATAGCCTGGCAGTTATAGTCAGGGCATTCACCTCAGAGAAATGACAAACCCTGCATGCAGATACCCTGTGTTCAGAACAGCCACAAACTGGAATCAGCCCAGAGGTCCTTTAATAGTGTGATGATTAAGCAGGAATAAGCACTGAATTGTACCAAGGTCTGTTAGAAGATTATATTGTAGTTTTGCAAAATATCATCATTTGAGGAACCTGGGCAAAGTGTACACAGGTATACTCTGTATCGTTTCATATAACTGCATGTGAACCTATAATTGTCACAGGAAAACTTCAGTTAGAAAAAAAAAAATCCTATACTTGCAATAAAGCACATTAGCTGTGTTTTCCTGACACTGAAGGGCACATGTCTGTGAGTTTTAGGGTGTCCCTGCCTAAGAGGATGGACCCAACAGCAGGACAAACATCTCTGGTTGTCCTCTCCTGATCACACGGTGTCAGAGCAAAAGCCCTGTGGCATGCCAGAAGCAGCATCCAGGAGAGGCAGGAGCCCCTGTCACTGGGCCTCTCTGACTCCACATGAATCCCCAGAATGGCTAAGACATAGAAGGGAACCTGGCAGTGAGGGATAACCCTGGAGCCCCATTGTTTTATACTTTGTTGGTGGTGTTCTCCATCTGTCTTAATCATTTTTTAACAGCTTTTTAAAAAATTGTTGCAAAACATATGTAACATAATATCTACCATTTAACCATTTTTAGAGGCATAATTCAGTAACATTAAACACAGTCACGTTGTTGTTCAACCACTGCCACCCTCAGCCTCCAGTCTCTCTTTTCTTTTTACTCTTTAGAATCCAGAGAGCAGGATTTACCAGTTTGAAAAGGCTCTGGTCCCTGGTCCTCCTCCAGAGATACTCAGCCCTGCCAGGCTTCCCATTGCCAGTCTGTCTGGTTCTTTGCCATGTCAGCCATGTGCCTGGCAGTCCCAGACGCTGTGTTCCCACTGTCTCCCTCACCTGGAGCCACACTATCCTCTGGTACACATCCTGCCGCATGCTCATCTCCACGTCAAACTCAGACAGCTTCTTGTCCGCCTCTGTGCTGGCCGTCCGAATATCCTTGGAGGGAGAAACATGCTGGGGAAAGTCAAGGATATTCCTCTGAACTGAAACAAGTGAAACAACAGAGAGGGGTGTGAAAATGGATGCCAGAAACAACTAGGAAGCGCTAACCAGAACCCTTTACTCAGGTGTATCTGCTGAATCCTTCCATGAAAACGCATCACACCAGGCCCAAGCTGGGTGCTGGGAAGGAGACACAAGGAGCTGTCATCAGCATCCTGGGGGATATCACAGCCCAAATAAAAACATGGCAAAAGAAATTAATGAATTAACAATTAATAAATAAATAAAAGCACAGAGTCAACCCACAATACTCTAAGCCAAGGGTCCTCAAACTTTTTAAACAGGGGGCCAGTTCACTGTCCCTCAGACCGTTGGAAGGCCGGACTGTGGGCCCGGGGACGAGTCGGCTGCTAAGCAGGACAGGCAGTGGCGGCAAAAACACCCGGCGGGCCGGGTAAATGTCCGAGGCGGGCCGCAGTTTGAGGATGCCTGCTCTAAGCCAAGAAGGACCCTAATGGAGATAGGTATGACAAGATAAGCTGACAGAACTCCATTCTAGGAAAAAAGTTATGGTCAGTAGTGGTTGTATTTTAAATGCATTAAGTCACTTTATGATTCCCAGAGCACATTCACTCTTTCTGCTTGACAGAGGAAGTGTCAGTGGCTTTAAAAGCTTAAGTTTGGGGCTGGGCTCATGCCTATAATCCCAGTACTCCAGGAGACCCAGGCAGGAGGACTTTACTTGAGCTTAGGAGTTCAAGACCAGCCTGAGAAGGAGTGAGACCCTGTCCCTACTTAAAAAATATAGAAATTAGCTGGGTGTGGTGGTGGGTGCCTGTACTTCCAGCTTCTTGGGAGGCTGAGGCAGAAGGATCAGTTGGGTCCAGGAGTTATTGTGAGGTAGGCTGATACCACAGCACTCCAGTTTAGAGCAACAGAGTGAGATTCTATCTCAAAAAAAAGTATAAGATTTAAAATGGAGTCATCCCATGACCCAAAAACACCACTGCTGGGCATCAGGCCAAGAGAAATGTGGCAGACATCCACATCCATGCTCAAGGCAGGATTCACAACAGCCACAAAATAGAAATAACCTGAATGTCCTTTGACATCTAAATGGGCACTCACGTGGTCCATCCACACAGTGGAATATTACTCAGCCATGAAATGAAACAAGGCTCTGACACAGGCTATGTAGACAGACCTTGAGGACATCATGCTCAGGGACAGAAGCCGACACAGAAGGACACATAGTGTGAGATTCCATTTATCTGAAATGTCCAGAATAGGCAGATCCTCAGAGACAGGAAGTAGAATCATGGTCACCAGGGGTTGGGAGCAGGAGAAACTGGGAGTGACTGGTAAACAGTATAGTTTCTTTTTTTTTTTTTTCTGCTAAGGCTAGGTTTGAACCTGCCACCTCCAGCATATGGGGCTGGCACCCTACCCTTCTGAGCCACAGGCACCGCCCACCTATAGTTTCTTTTTGGGGTGATGAAAATGATCTAAAAGAGTGGTAATAGGGGTACAACTCTGCAAATTCACTAAAAACAACTGAGATATGTGCTTTAAATGAATGAATAGTATGCCATGCAAATCGTATCTCAATAGAGTAGTTTAACAAAATAAACCAAAAAAAAGCACACACTTTGCATCAAAGACACTTGAATTCAAATAGCAGTTTGGTCACAAGCACAAATCTGAGCCAATGAAGACGTCCCTAGGCCTTGGTGTGTTTAACTGTGTAGTGGAGACCCTCTGCCAGGCAGGGAGAGGGCCTGGCTACAGTCTGACCACATTAAACACGGTGGGGGGCTCTGGGTCAGGCCTGATGCTCGTGCTCAAGAGAGAACAGAAGACAGGCTCTGTCCTTTTGGGGTTTACAGACTACTGATTAAACCAGCAACTGCGACAGCACCAAGTGTGATGACACAGCAGCTCAGTGCATGGGACAGATACAAGCAGCTGGGATGGGAGAAGAGGGGGACTAGAAGGCTCTTGGGCAAAATAGACTCAATCTACCCTCATAGGGAACCTTGGCATTCTGCAAGGTGAAGGTGGGGAGTATTCTGGGTCAGCAGGAAGGCCCAAGACAAGGGAGTATACCAAGCCTGAGGAGGTGCAAGAAGGCCAGCTGGCAGGGCACAAACAGTGCAGTGCATAAAAGGCCGCACCAAGGATGCTGGTTGTTATCCTGTGGGCAGTGGAAAGGCCTTGAGGGGGATCAGGGTGGAGTGCTGGGGCTGATATTAGTTTTCCTCTTTTTTTAAGAGACAGTCTCATTCTAGTGCCTAGGTTAGAATGTCATGACATCAGCCTAGCTCACAGCAACCTCACACTCCTAGGTTTAGGCCAGTGGTTCTCAACCTTCCATTGGTTTAGGCGATCCTCCTGCCTCAGCCTCCCGAGTAGCTGGGACTATTGGCGCCCATCACAATGCCCACCTAATTTTTTGTTTTTAGTAGAGACAGGGTCTCCCTCTTACTCAGGCTGGTCTTGAACACCTGAGCTCAAGTAATCCATGGGTCTCAGCCTCCTAGAGTGCTACAGCTACAGCTGATTTTAGTTTTCTTTAAAACTGCTCTGGTTAGGGGTGGCATCTGTGGCTCAAGGAGTAGGGCGCTGGCCCCATATACCGGAGGTGGTGGGTTCAAAACCTGGCCCCGGCCCCTCCCCAAAAAACCGAAAAACAAAAAAATTGCTCTGGTTAGCATGCTGCAGCAAGGGGAGGTGGGGAGTGGAGGAGACCAAGTGACACCTGGCAGAGTCATGCTGGATAAGAGGGAATTAGTGTCATTCCAGCCTTGTAAGACTTCTGCAAGAGAAACAAAGGAAAAAAGGAGCCACTACTTGGGATGGAAGTGAAACTGAGGCCCAGGCTGGGTGCTAACCTACCTTCATGAAGCCAGAGAGAGGAGGAGGCAGAGCCAGGAGTCAAAGCCAGGTCTGCAGGCGCAAGGCCACTTCCTGGGCTGCAGGCTAACCTCTTGGCCCCAGTCACCCACCCTCACTTCTTAGCAGTAGCAAAACCTCTGCATTGTGAACAGCAGAGGCCAGGGGTTGGCCAGCCCATCAGGGTGATGCCCTGTGAACACATGAGAAACCCTCAGCTTGAATTCAATTCAAGGATTCTCAATGGTCTCCAGAAAAAAGGTCTTTTGGGAGACTCCCAGGGAGAGAGTATTCCTGCTCAAAGTTCTCGGCTGTGTGGCTTGGCACCCATAGCACAGTGGTTATGGCGCCAGCCACATACACCAAAGCTGGCAGGCTCAAACCCAGCGCAGGCCAGCTAAAACAATGACAACTGCAACAAAAATGGCCAGGCATTGTGGCAGGTGCCTGTAGTTCCAGTTACCTGGGAGGCTGAGGCAAGAAAATTGCTTAAGCCCAAGAGTTTGAGGTTGCTGTAAGCTGTGACACCACAGGCCTCTACCGAGGGCAACATAGTGGAATTCTGTCTCAGAAAAAAAGAAAAGCTCTCGGCTGTGAGATTTCTCCAGTCTTTTAGACAGAGAGAACACTGTCATGCTCTCCGGAGGCAGCTCTGGGAAGCAGTGGTCATGACCTATTTGACCAGGCACCTTGTTCCTCACAATTAATAGAGAAACCTCAAGGGGAAAAGAAGATCCTACTGGGGGGCAGGGAGGACACCTGAGGACATGATGTAACCCAAACCAGAGGGCAGAGGCCAAGGTGGCAGGTGGAAGAGGAAACCAAAGGGGCCAAGCTCAGTCTATAGAGAGAAAATAAATATCATCTGGGACTGGGAAAGAGGTCAGAAGGGACTCAGGTTTCAAGACCGTCACCCGAGTTGGCTTCCAGAAGGATGTGCTATGTAGACACGTGTCTTATTTAGGATTCTCAGATGATGTAACCGACTGTGCTCTGAATGGGCAGGTGGGAAAACAGGGAGCTGGCCTCTCCCAGGATGCTTCTGACACCCAGCAGAAGCACCTGCTTGTACTTTTGCACAGCTCACTATGTTAATCCATTGCCACCACCCCAAGGGAATGGGCAGAGCTATTCTGTGACCAGGGTCAAGGGCTTAAGACCATCAGCTCTGGGTTCTGAACTGGTTCTGAGGCCTAAACTGCCCCAACCTGCCAAGTGGCTGCCCTCGGCTTGACCTAGACATACCTGTGTAGGTGACTTCCACGTCGGCCAGCGCCTTGAGTGTGCTCTCATATGACACTTCCTCGAACTTCTGGGAGCCCACCTGGTCATACACACGCTTGGTTTGCTCTATGAGCTCCTTGGTGAGCTCCTCTATCTGCTGGGCGCTCAGGTCCCATCGTAGGTAGTTCATGACAGAGCCCGAAGATGCCATATCCAACACGTCTCCTGCACATGCTGGGCAGAGAGAAGACAGAGCCCAGTGCCAAACAGATCTGCATTACATCCTGAGTTAGGGTGAAAGTAACTCGGGGGCAGAGGGAAAGAGGGGAATCACTCACTTCTCCATCTAAGTGCACAAGCTCTGGGGGTCTGGCAAGATAGTACTGACTGACTAACCCTCTAGAATACAAGGCAATTAATTCTCGGTAGTGTCAGGGGACATCTGTGGTTGTCACAATTGAGGGCAGAGTAGTACTCTTGGTATGGAATGGAAGCAAGGGGTGCTGCCTAACATCCTGCAGCACCCAGGATGACCCACCCCAGAGAACAATCTGGCCTTTGATGTAGACAACAATGCTGTTCAATAAAACATCCTGCCAGGCTGCACCCATGTTTCAATGGGTAGGACACCAGCCACATATACCCAGGCTGGCAGGTTCGAACCCAGCCCAGGGCAGCTAAAATCAACAATGACAGCTGCAACAAAAACATAGCCAGGCGTTGTGGCAGGTGCCTGTAGTCCCAGCTACTTAGGAGGCTGAGGCAACAGAATCATTTAAGCCCAAGAGTTGGAGGTTGCTGTGAGCTGTGACACCACAGCACTCTACTGGGGGCAACAAAGTGAGACTCTGTCTCAAAAACAAACAAACAAACAAAACCACCCTGCCCTTAAGCCACCAAACACATATCCTTGCCAGGACCCTGTAAAGACCCCCATGTTCACAGAAAAGGGGAGTCTAAGACCAACACAGTTCTGCTCAACTCCTGCCATGCCAAAGGGGGAAAGTAAAAAAGTTGCATATCTGGGAGGTCTTTTTTCTACTGGCTTACTCTGCACTTTGCCACCCCCACCCCCACCTAGGGGACCACATAGGCCTCACTCACATAACTCATATGCAATTCAGGACAGGGTGTGGCCATTTAAGACCCATGGGTGCTCTGGGAGTGTAATGAGAGCTTGGTCACTTTGCAGCTTCTCAGAGAAGTGGGTGTATATATAGAGCCATGAAGGCAGGTAGGCAGGTGGGCAGGGAAGGGCTCCTGGCAGCCAGAACAACATGCAAGAAGGCCAGAAGGGCCACTTCTTGAAGAAAGTCAGTGTGGCTTAGCACAAAGAAGTCAGCAAAACCACCTGGCAACACGTGACCAGCCAGGATCCAGGGGAGTCAAAATAATGTGGATTGAAGACCACCAGTGGTTCTGTCAAAGGCCCAATATTTTAGGCTTTACAGGCCACATATGGTCTGTGTTCCATTCAAAAATCATTTTTAGCTCATGGGCTGCACAAAAATAGGCAGGCTGTAGTTTGCCAACCTCTGACATAGACTACAAGGGTTTGAACTTTAATCCTGAGTGCAAGGTGGAGCCCTGGAAAGGGAACAGATTAGGTATTCAATAGGGGGTCTGACAGATGTGCATTTGTACAAAGGTGGGGGCAGGGTTGATATACTAGTTCAGAATGTAGATGCTAAAGTCAAGACCACATGGGTTTGAACCCCTCCTGTGCCACTTGCCAGCTGTTGGATCCTGGCAAGAAACTTTAACTCTCCAAAACCTAAGGATTCCCATCTGTAAAATGGCAGCAATAATCAGAGTACAGAACTATCTAAGAATTCAATGACGGTAAACACCAAACATTTTGCGTAGTGAATATGATGAAAAAGTTTCCAAAAGGCAACTACTATTACAGACCACGGTCTTATCCAAAAACTCTTGAGGCCAGGGATGTTTCAATATTCAGAATTTTCCTCTACTTTAGAAAGGTATTACAGTACAAATGCCATATATCATATAACATCAAGGGTGGTTGAGGTAGCACCCTGCAATCAAATTACTCGTTGTAGTAAAACATGGGAATATACAACAGGGTTTCTCCCCTTCAGTACTGCCGACACCTGGGGCCATAATTCTCTGTGATGGGGCTGTTCTGGGCACTGCAGGACACTGAGCTTGGCCTTCAACCACTCCACGCCAGGAGCACCTCCCAATTATTACAACCAAAAATGTCCCACCCAGTGTTCTCTGAGGTGGCACAATCACCCCAGCGAAGAACCACTGAAATACACTAAGTGGGAAAAAGAAAGGTTCTCAGTTCGTATAGGTCAGATTTTCTGGCTAAAATGACTCTGTTGTGAATTTAAAGCAAATCTTTCCGTTTGCAGAGTTTTTTGGACTTCAGAACTGAAAAGAAAATTAAAAAAGACTGTGGATCTATATTAAACCTTGTTTAATAAAGGACTTCATGAATTCAAAAAAGATAGAGAACAATGACCAATGGGAACTGAATTGTCAGAAAATTCTGAGTCAGGATTTGAGAAACTTGTGGACCAAAGTTTATTCTGTAAATAAACATATTTACCGATTGCCACCTCTGTGCTGGGTCTCTGAACCAATGATTCAGCAGCAAACAAGGCAGACAACATTCCTCCCTTCCTGAAGCTTGAACAACCCTAAGTATCATTATCACAAATATCCGCATCACAATCTTCTGGACAAAGAACTGGGGGAGGGCGGGTGGGAAGGAGAAAATTCAAAGATAGTAGCAAGGAGGCACCATACAAGAACCTGAGGTCACAACACAGATCACATTATTCCCCTACTGAAAATCCTCTCATAGTGCCCCTTTGCCCTTAAAAGGGTCCCCCAGCTGACTATGTAATCTAGCTAAACTTTCTGCTCTCCAAATAGGTTACACGTGTTCCTTCCTCCTCCCGCTTACCTCCCCGTGGGACGCTCCTCCGACACTGGCGGGACACCAGCTTCACTACGTCAAGCCTCGGCTCACCTCCTCGGTTAAGTCTTCAGGGACCACCCTCTCCAAAGAAATCTCCCTTAAGATTGCCCCGTTCATGTTTATCTGCTCCACTGCACCAACGCCTATCTAAAATCCTCCCTTATTTACATGTCGTACGTCTGTCTCTGTCTCTAGAACTCCGGGAGGACAAGGATTGGGCTCCCCAGAGTCTGCCCTAGGGCCTGGAAACGATCGTAGGGGAAGCGCCAATAAGTTCGGTGAATGAAGGAAGTGCTGGAAAACCTGGTTCATTCATTCGTTAGACAAGGGGACGTGGTCTCCCATGCGCTCCACCAGCCGCCGTGGCCCAAGGGACATTACAGGGTTACTCGACTCCTGTCTTAGGCCCAAGTCACGACCCCGGGAGAAGAGAAGGTGCTGGGGACACTCCGGTCCAACTAGCAGGGTCGCACTGAGGAGCGGCCGATACCTGCGGGGGGCTTCATGGCGGCCAGATCTGCACCGATGGTCCTCTCTCTCGTTCCACCTGTTCTGCGTCGAGCCGCCTCCGCCACCACAGCGGCAGCCTTGCTTCCAACCAGCCGCCCCCACTGCAGCCAGCAGACTAAGGGGCCCGCCGCCCGCGCGCCCAGAGCATGCTGGGAGTGCGCGTAAGCCGGGAAGGCGGAGCGCACGCCCACCCGAGCTCCGCCCACACCTGGAAAAACCGGACCCTATCCCCACCCCCCCTACCCCCGACGCTGACACCCACTGCACATGCGATGTAACTCTCCGGCCTATCTTTAGTTCTCAGATGAGGATGGGCAAGGCCCTGGGCTCCATCCCTCAGGAGCTGCCGTCTGAGGGCGGGAAGCATCATTTCCATGGTAACCGCACGCCGCTGACGCCTCTGAGTTTCTGTATTTGCGGCTCTTTCTGTCAGGATTTCTCAGCCTGGGCGTGTACTTGACTCCTTATAATTCTGTAATGAGTTCTACAAGTTTTCTCTTTCATATCTAAGGCGCTTTTTGTGGGTTATTTCCTTCCTAGTATCCTGCCCATCTTCCAGCATCTGAAGAACAGAGTAGGTTCTCCACATGTGTGAGCTGAATCGTTAAATCAATTAAATTAACCGCAGCTTTTCAATAAATAAAACAAGAAACGTAAGCAAGCAGGTGCAATCAACAAAACTTCGATAAACAGACCCATGACTTCAAATAACAGGTGTTTTGGAATAATGCAGCAGCCTGACCTACATTCAGGCAAACATCTTGAACCGCCTAAGGTGCTCAGAAAAAAAAAATTAATAGGATTAAATTAACTAACTTATCCCCGCCCCCCCAAACCCACAACCCACATCCTTTATTTCTGTAAAAAAAGAAAAAAAAAAAATCAGGGCGGCGCCTGTGGCTCAAAGGAGCAGGGCGCCGGCCCCATATGCGGGCGGTGGTGGGTTCAAACCCAGCCCTGGCCAAAAACTGCAAAAAAAAATAATAATAATAATCAAAATAATCCAGGGCATATACTTTAAATAGAATGAAAATCAATTGGGAAAACATCTGGCAACTTTAACTTTCAAGGTGCTCAGTTATCTGTCGTCCTAGACAATTTCACATCACTTGATCTCTATGTCTATCTCTTGAGCACATCAGGCTTAATATTACATCAGTCTTCATTTTCACTGGTCCCTGGGCCTGAGTTGCTTTCCCTTTGGATTTCTCCATCCTTCAAATCCACATCTAGAGGAGTGGCCTTCCCTAACCAATCAACCAGGCCGTGCAACTTCAGCTCTGGTCACAACTACCTCATCTCAGTGTTTCTTCACAGTGCTTGCCATTACCTGACATTTCTAATTTTTCTACTTAGATACTAGTTTACGGTCCGTTTACCCCAAAACAAGGTAATGAGAGCAGACACTTCGCTGGTCTTTACGGTTGGTTTGCAATACATACAATACTTGTTGGATGAATATTAGGCATCTGCTATCTACAAATAACTAACTCTTTTCCTTCACGTCTCACAGATTGAATGAAACACATTCATCACATTTGTGGGCGAGTGGGTGGGTGAATAAATAAACAAAGATAGTGAGCAAATAACACAGACTCACATTCTTTGCGAGCCTGTGACGCTCAGGAAGCTAAGTGTCCAAACGCAGAAGCACCGCTTGGCCTGCTCCAAACCACGTGGTCGGCTCAGCCGGCTCGCTACAGTCCGCCACTGTCCCATAGTGCACCGCTCCAAAGGGCAAGCCAGCTTAACTTCCGGCCTCCGTTGGGTCACAGAGGTCAGTTACCTTAACGACCAGCATGTTCCCACCTCTACAGTGCGTCATTTCCCTACATGCCCGCTTCTGTCATTGATGCGCCTGCGCAGAATAGAAGCAAACATCAGCGACCCCTTTCTGCGCAGGCGTCGCACCCAGGGGGCGGGACCGGGCGGTGCCGTGGTGCGCAGGCGCAGCCGTCGGTGGGTCGGGGCTCAGTCGCCCGAGAGGTGAGTGGGGGGTCTCGGCGCTGAGCCGAGTGGTCCTGGGGTCTGTGGATCGGGGCTCAGCGGGCTCTGGAGCTCGTAAGAGAAGGTCAGTCTGAGTCCTGAATCTCCACAACCCATCTGGTCCTGTAGTAGGCAGCAGGGAGGGGAAACTGAGGCTGGGAGACGTCGGACAGGCCCCAGGAATTGCTGGTCCACAGACCGGCGGTGAGGACAGTGGAAAGTGAAAGCGCCCCACATGTAGTGAGCGCTGGCTTAATGTTCGCTGTTGCCCTCTTTCATATTAACTGCCTAAAAATACGGTTCTTTGACTCGGGCACTCCCCGGATTTGGACACTCTAGTCGGGGCTGTAGTTCCAGCACCGCCAGTCACTACCTGGGTGACCGTAACCAGCCTTTTAGAATCTCTGTTTCCTCCGCGGTAAAACGGGCATTGTCAAAGCCTCTGCCTGGGCAGATGACAGCTGCAGGGTCTGTGCAAAGTTAGGACTACAAAGGGTTGCAGTCGTTTGTCGTATTTGGCATTTAGGGTCTTTGGCATATAGTGCAGAGTTGGAGGGGAAATAAGGGTTTGAGGACCAGCCCGGACCAGCCTACCACCTCGCATCTGATGTGTAAACTTGACAAGTCGCTTTCCCCTTCTGAGCAGCCCATTCCTTTTCTCTGGAGTTGTAAAAATATATGCCTCAGAGGGTCCTATGAGGCTCAGTTTCCATAAAAATTCTTTAAGTAGGCTCCCGGAACTTGGTAAGAGCTTGCTTGAGAATGGCTGTTTTTGTTATTAGGTTTTGGAAAATGTGCGGTGGCTCACGCCTGTAATCCTAGCACTCTGGAAGGCCAAGGCGGGTGGATTGCTTGAACTCAGAAGTTTGAGACCAGCCTGAGCAAGAGCGAGACCCTGTCTCTAAAATAAATAGCCAGGCATTGTAGCAGGCATCTGTAGTCCTAGCTACTTGAGAGGCTGAGGCAAGAGAATTGCTTAAGCCCAAGAGTTTGAGGTTGCTGTGAGCTATGATGTCACGGTACTCAACCCTTGGGCAACTGAGTTGAGACTCTGTCTCAAAAAGAAAAAAAGAAAGAAAAGAAAATACATGTGTAGTGTGCACACCTAGGCTGCTTTTCCTATTTTACTTTGGTTTTGATTGATATTTAGTTTTTGTTTCTTGGAGTTTTTTTGAGACAGAGTCTCACTATGTTGCTCTCCGTAGAGTGCTGTGGTGTCATAGCTCACAGCAACCTCAAAGTCTTTGGCTTAAGTGATTCTCTTGCCTCAGCCTCCCAAGTAGGTGGGACTGCAGGTGCCCGCCACAACACCCGGCTATTTTTTTGTTGCAGTTGTCATTGTTTGTTTAGCAGGCCTGGGCCATGTTCGAACCCACCAACTTAAGTGTATGTGGCTGGTGCCATAACCACTGTGCTGTGGGTGCTGAGCCTGATAATTAGTTTTGTTTTTGTCTTCTCTCTGGGGCAGTGGTTCTCAACCAGATCAACTGTCTCTCCCAGGGACACTTGGTGATATCTTGAAACTCTTGTGGTTGTCATGACTGGGTTGGGGAAAGCTCCTGGCATGGGGTGGGTGGAGGCCAAGGATGCTGCTCAGCACCCCGTAGTGCCCAGGATGGCCCCCACCGCAGAATAATCCAGCCTCAAATGTAGATAATGTTGCTGTTTAAAAACCCTACCCTAGACCAGTGATTCTTCCCAATGTGGGCAGCAGGGGGGTGTGTGAGCCCATGAAATCATGTGCAGAGTTTTATGTGTGTGCCCAATTCTGTGGGGAGAGGAAAGGACCCTTAGGATTTTAGTCTCTAGAGTCAGACTGCCTGGGTTCAGAATTCCTGATGTGCATTGTCATATCTGGGAGATCTTAGCCCCTATCTTTCTAAGCTTTCTTTTTTTTTCTTTTATAGAGTGAGAATTATAATAGTAACCACCCCAGGTGTGTGAGGACTAAACTACACAAGGTCTCAGCAAACTGACCATTCAGGCCAGGTGTGATGGCTCATGTCTCTAGTTCCAGCTACTTGGGAGCCTGAGGCAAGTGGATCACTTGAGCACAGGAGTTCCAAGCTGTAATGAGCTATGATTGTGCCACTGCACTCCAACTTGGGCCACAGAGCAAGGGAGGGGGTCAGGACCCAAAAAATGTGACCAGAGGGCCAAATCCAGCTTTAGCCTGTCTGATGAATAAAGTCTTATGAGAGGACAGCCACGTTCCTTCACTTACTCATTCATTGTCTATGGCTGATGTTAAGCTACGGGGCAGAACTGAGTTGCCACAAAATAAATACTTAATGGCCTGCAAAGGTAGACATGATGCTTTTGCCCTTTTTAGAAAACCTTTACTGGCCCCTGAAATAAGCCACTGTGTGTACAGCACTTAGATGCCTGGAAAGTCCTGAGCATGCCAAGGATTTGAGCAGAGATTTTATAATTAAATCTTCCTAGAAGCATGAATGACTCCAGACAGACTTAAGCTCTGCCCTAGATTGGAGGATCCTTGAGAGCTGTAGTCTTATTCATTTCTCCTTTTTGGCCAGAACCCAACACTGGCCCTGGTGGGAAATGCTCAGTAAAAGGCTAAAGGAATTTTTGTTAGGTGAGAAAGACAGGGTTTGTTTATTACTGAGGAAGAAAACAAGATGCAGAGAGAAGTGAAATCCCCACAGAACTTGATCATGTGGCTCTGAATATGCCAGTGATCTAATGTTTCCCTGAGTCTGTGGGGTTTAGACATTGCCAGGTGCAGGGGTTCAAGGGAAGGCAGGACCTGTAAAGGGGTATAGAACCTGGTAAGACATGCTGACCAGAAGTAGGGCTGGTACTCGAGATTTGCAGTAATGACTGTCTTTTTCAGGAGACCTGGAGGAAAGGTGAGCACTTGAGTTTTGAATGGTGTGTACAGTTTTTGGAGTAGGCCCTCTTTGCACATTTATGAGGTTCCGAGTGGAGTGGAAGATTTTTATGTGCGTGCTGACATCCTGGTGGCATTTTATTTTATAATTTTTTGTTTTTCAAGATGCAGACTCTCACTCTGTTGCCTGAGGTAGACTGTTGTGGCATTATCTTAGCTCACAGTGACCTCTCTAATTCCTGTGCTCAAGCAATGCT